CTAACTGATGCATCCCTGCATCTTTGAGGACAAACTGAGAAGTTTTTACTTTTACTCACAGCAGTCGAGATGCGTTTCCAAAAGGAGCTAACGGGGTTGTCGGGGCATTCCTCCCATTTTGGGCAGCGGGTGGTCCGTGTTTCTATAACAACAGCAAAACACATTAAAAGTCAGTAAACTGTTCGCCTAACAGAAACCTGGAAGCACAGGGTCGAAAACATTAAAGGACACAAGAAAAACCTACCTAAAAAATATCTGTTAATGCATGAAAATGTATGTGAAAAACATTTTGGATGGTCATGAAGTGTCTAAAACCATTTCCTGGATGGGTTTACCCAAGCCATGGTTATTGGATCATCTCAGAAATATTTTGCCCTCATTATTTCATTCATTGGAGATTGCATTTTTCAATGTGCAGGTTAAAAAACATAACTTTGTTTTTAGATATTGCCTTTTGTGTCTTAAGACCCAATTGTGTAAAAAATAAAAACAAATAAAAACAACAAACAAATGTCAGACTGGACCCGTGGTTCCCTTTAACGTGTAAATGTAAATGTAGCTGACGCATCATATTTATTACACAAAGAGAAAGTCTGTGTAAATTAGAGGTTGACAAAAGTTGAGTTCATTGTGGTGACTAAGTAGGAAAACATTTTTTAAAAGTGTCCATGAGCTTTTCAGAACTATATGCAGTTGGGGTTCAGGTGGTCGTCGTTCACAAGCCTCCCGAGGCTCCCGTCTTCTGCCGAAGCATCGACGCTACCAGAGAAAGAGAAACGAAAACAGACGACGGTGGAGGAGAGTCGAAGCGGCTCATTCAAACTGTTGCCCCTAGGCTGGTTTGTGGATGGTTTATCTTTTGAAACTCACCTCCAGTTTGTCCGACTCAACGAGAAGTCAAACACAAAACCATTCAGAGTGTCTCTCTTCCTTTGGGGGTCTTCATGTCAAGAGATCTCTCCCCGGTACTCGACAACAAAGCTGGGAGGTTCGATGGACTCGTTGGTGAACACTCCTCTTCCTGGAGAAACAGACATTGGGGGTCATCTCAGAAAAAACTGCTCCATCGTTTGTTCCTTCAGGATTCGACGGCTGGAGTTCTTTAATATTGTTCTGACCCCAAAAACCCTCTAAAAAAGCTGCCGGCTGATCCAAAATCTGCTGAGAACCAGCAGCAGCTTTCAGGTATCAGCCCCCCCCCTCTGAGGAACCAGTCTGGGTTGTCTGGGCATTGTTGTCATTAGTTGTCATTTACTTTTTTTCTCTCTCTCAGCAGGTACCTCTGGCCTGGTTCCTCATTCCTGTCCACCAAAAATCTTTTTAAACAATAAAATTTATATAAAAAAAGATGTATTAAACAAATGAACAAAATTAAAAATAAATCAACTTTTTTATCCGCCACATCCGACTGTCCAAATTCAAATGAACAAACATTACGATCCTGTAACG